GGCAGGTGTCATATTCAATGAGACCGCTTTGCCGGGAGACTTAGTCTCTACAGAAACGGTATTATTGTCAGTGGTCCTTTTGTCTGGAGCCTAATTGAAAGGAGACTTTTTGTCGTGAGCCAAAATAACGCTAGCCTATTTGTCGGGAGTCGTAATGACGAGGGCCGTTTTGTGGAAAAAACTAACTAAATAACGGGAGCCTATATGTCGGGAGCCAAAATGACGGGAGCCTATTTGTCAGGAGCCTTATTGACTGAAGACCTTTTGTCGGGAGCCTATATAATGGGATCAATATGTCGCTGGCCATTTTGACGGGGTCAATTTGACGGGGCTCATGTCGGGGCCGATTTATCGGGGTCGTTTTGACGGGGCCGTTTTGTTATTGGCTGTTTTGACGCCGCACGGTTGAATCTATAGAGCTAGATTCAAGATACTCATACTGAAAGGCCTACTTAGTAGAATCTAAATACACTACAATTATGGTATTCTGTCCTTATCAGTCAGAATAAACAGATAATAGTAGTAGGCCTAGTGATTAGAATATAGCTTAAGGGGCTATGCGCCGTTTTTTTTTTCTATTTTTTACAATTTAAAGATCTGAAGCCTTTTGAATACTATTACCATGTTTAGCACATGAAAGTATTAAACTGAAAAAAAAGGGTTGAAAACAATTTTTGTTGTTACGGAAACCCCAAAAGTCCTCCGCCATTTTGAATTTTTCTGTACTTTTAAAAATGGCAACGCTTTTATTTATGTATGCACTTATAGCAATTAAATTTAAACTTCTTATATTTCAGTATATACTCAAACTTTTGTCACGACAACTTTTTGAAGTAGTTACTAGTAAGAATTTCACAAGGTCTTAAAAATCGTACCCTTTTTAGTATTCAAAAGTTTCAAAATTGGCAAATTGATTATCAAATATTTTTCTACGAAAGCCATCACAGTTCCCTAAAGATAAAAGTTTTATTTTTGCATGAAGAACAATTACTGAAAATATGGTGAGCATTGTTTTACAAATAAAAAAGCAGTAGGCTTTTTAGTGTTAAAAACCTGCGAACTGAAAAAAACAACCAAAAATAACGAAAAGTAGGTCACGAAAATACCATATCTGTGTAAGCTGCAAAGCTGATTATAAGCTTTGGGTGTTTTCGAGATGATGGAAATTAAGATTATCAAAGACATGAAAAATCCAGCTTTCCATTGATGCCAAATACAATATGATGACGGATATAAAACTTTTCATAGAGGGCTTGTAAGATTGGGAAAAATTGATTATTTTTTTTAATTAATAAGATCATACAAATGGTATTTTAATCACAATAAAATAATTTCCCATTTAAGTGTGTTATTATTTTCTTAATACAAAATGGACAGAGTATCCAAAAGTGCAAGAAACGCATCTAGACGAAAAAACAAGACATTTTGTGATTTTTTTTACGGTGCATATAGGTTAAAATCATTAGAAAGTACCTGCGTGCACCCAGCACTGATGGGTACCTAACTCACATAAAGGAAAGTAAAGGCGGCTGGGCATAGTGCTGACCTCATTATCACTTCATATCAGTGGCGTATGCAGGGGGGGGGTTAGGGGGGTCATAAACCCCCATAGACCCCTCGGTATATATATATATAAAAAGTATGAGGGGGGTGCAAATCGAAAGTTTGAGAGGGGTGGATGCAAATCGAAAGTTTGAGGGGGGGGTGCAAATCGAAAGTTTGTCCCCTTGAGACGATCCTGGCTACGCCACTGCTTCATATGCCACGGTCACAGAAACAGGTGAACTCTACGTCATCTGCTCCATGTACCATAGGTTTGATGCGGGAACTTTGTCAAGAAATTTCATGGGAATTTAATTGTTTTGTTGCATCAAAAAATTTTATTCACAAATTGCTGTCTCAGATGAAATCTTCATTATCACACACCTTTTGATTTCATTTGTTTTGTTGATAGGCTTGGTTAAGGTTTCCTGGAACATGTGTAGGGTATTTTTTTCTGTGTTTACTAGTGGTCTTTATGCAGTGATTTAATTCAAGTAATTTACAAACACACACTAAATCTAATCACTGTCCCTTTTTATTTAGAGGGATCAGTATTGTTAATTTAGTAATAAAGAAAAGATTTAGGATAAGGTGGATTAAGATCTAGATGTAATATGCAAACCTCGAGCTTGATACGCATTTACTGTTTACCATATCATTCAGTAGGAGTATATCCCCGGGGGCTAGGCTAGCGAGGTCTTACATTAACTTTAAAAATAATAACAAAACTTTTCTGTTAGAATTGAATGCAAAAATTAGTTCCCAACCATAAGCACAAAATATTGTTGAAATTTTTTATATTAGTTGCATATTTGGAATTTATGATTATTTTTAAGTCCTGAAGCAAAGCCCAAAATAACAAGCAGCTGCCATGTTTGTTTGTTTTTGTTTTTTTTTAATTATCAATGGATATCATGGTCACAAAAAATAATGTAGTTTAACATTTAATCTCTCCCTGGCTAAATAGATTTCAAGCTCCTTGAAATGGTAGGGCATTCCAGGAAGTGAAAATAATTAATTATTTCAAAAATTATTTTCAACGGTTTAGCTTCAATTAAAAAATACAAACAACGTGAAAATCAATAATTTAAATCTTGCTTTATCTTTTCCCAGCTTTAACACAAGTTGAGCGCTTGATAATTAATTTATGTAATATTATTTTAAAAAATGACATGTCATACAGAAAAATATTGCTGCAACACCCTATGGCCCTTCAATTGTTCTAGCATGGTAAAGGTCGTTCGATTGCAATACTATCTTATGGATCAGTTACGATGCTCAAAAAATTCTCCTAGATATTTAGATATTCCAGTTTTATTACAGTAATTACAAATATAGTTCGTATATCATTCTGATCTAAAACGTACGATATTGCAAATATAACACAAAAAAAACGTTCTCGATGTTGTTTTGTTTCTAAATGGATTCTGTGTCAAACTAAACATTTTACACTTTGAAATATTGATTGAGTTTTTCATTTGTATTTATCTTTGAAATAACACTGTTTTTCAAAGGAAATATTTGTATCATATTTAAACCGGCTAAATAAGTTTTAAAGTTATTTTATCTTTATACATGTATGAGACACGATAATGAATGGCAATTTGGGATAAATATCTTCAGAACCTTCTTTTAAAATGAATAATACATACCATACTTTTTATTTTACCGACTATAAAAGTGAAGTTTAAGTTTAAGAATAATACATACCATACATTATACTTTACCGACCATAAAAGTGAAGTTTAAGTTTGGGACGTACTAATTTTTTTTTCATGGATTTTAAAGTTTGTTCTGTATTTTAAATAATTCTTCAAATGTATGACTTACAATTTTCGCATTTATGGGAGTACCACACCAGTATGACCCTCAAATCAATGCAACTAGTTTGATGTTGTGGTTGGCGCCAGAAAGAAAAATTGCCAAGAGGGTAATTTTTAATATTCGCGACGTGATGTGCATTTTGTTTGTGTATCACTGCATCATGGCGAATCATATGAAAGCTGCTTTCATATTCCAAAATAATTGCAAATTTTTTCGAAATCCAGTCATCAAGTCTATTTAAAATCGAAGGCCATATTTGAACACATCTGACACAACTACCAACTTTGGGGATACTAAGACTAACTTTAGGGGCAAACAACTGCAGGATTAAAAAACACATATTTAAAAAATATATACAACAACAAGCATTTAGAAAATAAACCTACTTTGCTTTCTTTAATAATAGCTTTAGTCGCTCATGAGATATTTCACATATTTTAGGAAACAAAGGTTTTTTTAAGATAGCTAATTGGTTTTATTTTCTCATTAACAATGTATTGTTAAAGCTTGTAAATGAAAAAAAAATATAGTGTAATTTTTTGTAGTGATTATTAATTTAAAGGCTACGACTTAAGAATTTTTTTATATTTTAAAACACGATCAGTAAGAAGACAATTATTTGCCCTTTGTCCATGCCCGTGGCATAAAACTTATTTTATTTTATTTTTCAGCGCAATTAAAAGCTTGTTTTTATAAAAGATTTTTTTGTATTTATTTTACTTTCCAATTTTTTGTCTTATTAATAAATGAAGTTGACACTACACATAGGCATCGACTAAAAATATTTGCCTTAAAACCCAACCATAATGGTGTCTAGCTAGTTATCTCCTCTTTTATTATTGAATCTAGTAAACTTTAAATTAATTTTTAATCACTTATCTAATGATTAATGGAATTGAAAATAGATATCCTTGTGTTGTCTTTAAAGACGAACGCATCTATGAAGTTTAAACGAAATCACTCATCAAAAGTTGGTTAAAATCGAGTTACAAGATTTGCCTCAAACCCACTCACAAAGAAACAAATAAACAAATGGACGTTTGCAGCTAAATAAAAGCTGGTAAAATCATTGTATTCACATTTTCTACAAATAGCGATTAACTGTGAGAAACAAATTTTATACAATCATTGAAACTTGTGAAGCTAAACATTTTTAATATAAAGTAATAGTATTATTTTTTTTTAGATCTCTGTGCATGTTATTTAATTCATTTTGTAAATTTAAATAGCAACAATATCATTGTGTATTACAATATGCTTAATTAGAATCCAAACTTTGGCATTAAAGTGATTAATCAATCAGTATTTTTAACGAAATGCTTTTACGCGTAATTTTAGGGGAAAAAAGTTTTTAAAAATAATTTAAATCTTTAATATTACCTTTCCAGCTGATCTACAAGGATTGTGTGAAACATAAATTTAAATTTTTTAATTCAAACCCTTGGATTTGGTCGTCGCGCGAAAACATTCAATAGCGTTCAAGTGTTATCCTTCGTTATACGATTTTACAACCGTACTCTCCAACATTTGAAAATTATAATGCCCCGCTTTTCAAATTATGAGCCAATTATAAAAGGTCGTCCACCCCCCCCCCCCCCACCCCCCCCCCCCCCCCCCGCCGAAGAGATGCCTGGAAGAAAATCTGGATGGATGACATCAAGGGTTGAACGGGACTGACAGCCCCGGAATATTCAAAATGGCAGAGGACAGAGATAGATGGTGGAGAATTATAAGTTGAACTGTGGTTCCTCAACGACCCCATTAAAGCTTCAGGGGTGCTGATGCTGTTAATTATTAATTGAATATTGTGTTTGATTATGCTTTCGCTAAAATAGGACAGAAGCTGATAAAAAGACAATTATTTTGAAAATTAAGATGCCTGACTAGTATTTTAGGAAGCCTATAAAAATAATCATTCTTTAAATATGTTTTAATAAACATTTAGAATGATTGGCGCAGTGTATTTAAAACAAAAATTATATTATATTATCATTGAAACTAATCAGAATTATAACTTTAATTTGCAAGTAGAGTTTTCGTAGGCGAAGTGCTTGTGAAGAAACTACAGTGGTAGACACCTTAAACAAACAATAGTAACTGGAGTGTCTAATACCCCAATAAAATGTTTACTAAAATAAAATCCTCTAATAGGTGAACACTTGGATGGTTCTGGTTATGTTCCGGAGACAGACAGGACAAATTCTCATAGCAGGAGCACAATCAGCACAGGACACCAGATGACCACAGGGCGCAAAGACGACAGCCACCTTCTTGTCCATACAGATCTTACACACTTTCTGCTGAGATGGTTGGTTCGCCACTATTAAAATAGAAATTCATAACGTTGTAGTGAATGAGTGCATTTGAAATCTACGTTTTAATTTGATGACAAAAAGGCACAGACGCTCATAAAAATATCAGATAAAAGAGACAGTTAAACCAAGAGACGACAGTTATAGGACTAATTCAATATGTCTATAAACTAAAAGATATCGTCTCCAAGATTAAGTTAATTGCACATTTCCCGTGTGATTTTTTTAGCACCATTTAAAAATCATTTATAGTGTAACACGTTAATTTACAAGTTTCCACACTACTACTTCTGCAACCGTAATTTTTACCAAATGCAATGCTTAGCATTCCTTTGGATAATATCTGGCATAGGTTGAGATAGTGTTCACAATGCATTAGCATCGCATCGTCTATTCATCTAATGTATTAGTGTACACGCCCAGACGGGTTTTACTGTATACATTTATTGCAGTAGCGTACGCAGGGGGGGGGGAGCAGGGGGAGCGGCCGCTCCCCCTCTGGCCATTTTCAGCAAAGTGGCGCCTTTTTAGAACTTTTTAAACTCAAAGTTTTAAACAATGATATTTCTTAAAAAAATATTTTTGGTCGGCACATCTATGTAAATCACAAGATTTCTTTTCATGTAGCAATTAAGCATTATTGTACTAGTCTAGTAGTGTCTACGTTTACAACACGTATTAACAGCTGCATCCGTTTGCCATTCTAAAAATAACCATTATGATGCATTGCAATTTTTAAAAAACCTCTACGGGTAGTACCACTAGGCAAGAGGGGTGTTAAGTTTAAGGCAACTGTATAATGTATTTCCTTACGAATAATTGAAGTAGAAAATGTTATACATAAAACTTAACACATAATTACTTTATATATACAGTTTGAATCGTGTGATTATTTGTTTTAATTACAATACAGAAACAAATACAACTAATGTGGCACCTCTATTTAAATTTACTTATGAGCAAACTGCGTAGTGGTGGGGAAATTTTGACAAGGTAAACAACGTCATCACGATGAAGTAGTAGTATTCTTACAGTTTGGGCGATAGTGATTACGATTACAAATTATATGAAACAGTTACAACCCCCCTCCCCCATGGACCCCTCTGTAAAAACATATTGTCAAAATACCACTGCTACTTATTTAAATCTATTTCTGTAAAATATATATTCGTGTAATATATATTTGTGTAATATATATGTATGTTTAGAACAGTCATCTAGAAACTGACTGAGTTGGTTATCTCCCCCCCCCCACCTCACCAGCACAAATTGTGTAGAGCGACATTAATGTCACACCTAGATATACACTGGGTTGGATAATCGACCTAAAGTGAGCGGACAGTGGTGAATGAAGTTGAACCCCCCCCCCCCCCCAACCTACCCCGAACTGATCTGTTAAGTACATGTAGAAAAACACGTAATGATGTACCTAATTGCCATGCCGCCAGAAAATTAGCTTTTTAAACGTAAAACTCTGTGAATATTGTTTTTGCAATTACCAGTAAAAAGGTTTGTGATCAATACAGTGATCTAACCCATACCTATCACTATGTTAAAAAAATGATCTTTAAAGAACACAAAGAAGCAGTAGTTAATTAAAAATATATGATCTGAACTAATAGACCGATATATAGTAAAATGTAGGCTGTTATTCCGAATGTTGTCTATTATATCGAAAAGCGTGGTTTTATACTAACTATGATTTTAAAAACTTTCATTATGCTGAATACTTTAGAATTTATGATGACGATATATTAAATTCTGATTACAGACAAAAACATTTTGTAAACACGAATAGTGTTAAACAATTTCATTATATTCTAAAGTAATTATTTATTTGTTTTGACATTTATAATTAAATGTGTAGATATATACATATTTATATTAAGAGAGTGATGATTTCCCATATTTCACTTGTCTTAAATAATTTCCCAGGAATTATTATGTAAGAATTTTTTTTTACGAGAATTCCAAAACAGATTGTGTTACGTTCATTGTTTTTGGTTGTAGTGTTTGTATTATATTTTTAATATTTTTTTTTAGATTGATACAATATTTTTTGTCGGCCTATATTGTGTGTTTTTTCTTATTTCTTCAGAGTGCTACTTTCAATTGATTTTACATCATAGCAAAGTAATGACATACAGCTAGTAATTATATATATATATATATATATATATATATATATATATATATATATATATATATATATATATATATATATATATATGTGTGTGTATATATAATACACATATATAGAACGTGTTAAAAATTAGGCGCCTTTTTTTGCTCTTTTCGCTCCCCCTACACCGAAAACCTGGATACGCCTCTGATTTATTGTATACTAAATAGGCCTACATGGTAAAATGGAATTGTTGTGTGTAAAAAAGTGAGCGTTATGATCAAAATGTTTTTTACAATGATGCCTTGGTGGATTTTAAAAAATGATCTTTAAATCTTGAAAAACCGAAAACAGTTCATACAAGCTGACTCTGAGGAGGCGACATGTAAAGGTGAAAGAAAGGAAAAGTTCTTTTAAAAGTTTTTTTATCAAAAGCAGTTTATTTTTATCTTAAAGCAAACTTTATTGTAAGCCAAAAAAAATCATGCTTTCAATGTGTCATTTTTTAAAAGTAAATTCACAGTAGGACAAAAAAAATAACAAAACGGTACTTATTACCCTCATGTCCGTCAAAATAGTACCACTAGTGTGTCCAGTATGTACCAAAGGGTAGTCTATAGTGAATCTCCTTTATACTACTAGGCCTATGCAATCAAACAATGACCAACTTATTCTACAGCTCTCTAAAGTGCATTAATTGTTCACATACTAAAGAATTATGCGAACCGTTTTGAGTCTATCAGCATGCGACACATAGGTCCACCCAAGCACTACAAATTAAACATTGAATCATATATTATTTAAGATCCTCATCGCACACAAAGCAGTACCAACGTTGTTGTTCGCTCTCTTTAGAACTGGATATGTTATGTGTTTGCTTTTTCCCACGTTTTCTTTAACTTGCTTAAAATGAAAAAGTGGGGTGCCGTGATTTTCTTAGTTTCTAATACTTCGGCGCCCTACGTTTTTCATTTTTTGTCTAAATGCGCACGCAGTTTGCGATTGCTTATAGTAGAGTGATCGCTTGCATTATTGTGATGTATAGCAATTATTTTCTACTTTTTAGTTCAATCAGAAAACGTGGGTTTTTTATTTTTAATGATAATTATTTATCTTGTAGACTTACACTTAACTCTCTTGTAACTTTTCATAGTTTGATTGTTCTGAAGGTTTTACATGTTCTCAACGCTGGTGATAGTTTCCTAGGGTTTTGGTAGGTATCACTTATGCATGTAATGACTAGATGTTAATATGTTAATATCTCAGATCCCTCTTTTCTTCTTCTTGTAATACCTTGGGACTTTACATGCATTGAAACGGTTGGTATTTATTGTTTCGCAAATATTTTTCTCAGGTATAATGGCAGATGGTAATTGGTTAGCTAATAAAGATTGAAACGCTAACTTCATCAGTCCTTTCTTGTTAAACCAAACAACACTCCTTCAATATCCAAAATGTGCTCGACAAGATTTTTTATTTTACGTAGAAGAATTGTCGACCTACTCCTCATTTCAGAATAAAAAAACTGCTGCTTTGAAGTTTGTTTTTGGCTGGACAAAGGCTATGGAAGAAAATCAAAATAGAAAAAGCACGCTGAAATTGAGTCAACGGCCTATATGGCGCATAACTAAATACCTAACAGTGTGGAAGGAATCCCCGTCCAAAATTACATGAACGAAGAATAATAAAATTTGAACAATTTATGTCGGGGCTCGTCTTCTAAAAACAAAAATGCAAAAACCTTTTAATACTGTAAAAAAACAAATATCATTCTAGTAAATTGATAGGTGGTAGATCAATATTTTGATTAACATAATTTGTTAATCAAGCTATTAACTCATATACTAAGTACAAATCTAGCAGCGTGTAAATTGTACACATGTTGGGTAAATAGTACCACCAAATACCTTTGACCCGCCTAACATGGTAAGATTGAGCAGACCTGAACTGTTTTCAGTTGTCACCGGCAAACAAAATCAAAATAAATTGCGTTTAATGATGAAGCATAAACAAAACTCAGAAACTAACTTGTCGATTTATCCTGTGCGGTGAGGTCGAAATGAGGCTGATATATATATATATATATAATATATATATATATATATATATATATATATATATATATATATATATATATATATATATATATATATATATATAAGTTTGTGTGTGTGCGTGCGTGCATGTGTGTGTGTTTGCCTTTGTGTGATCTCTAATTTTAATTATCTTACCCGGTGAAACCAGCTGAGTGTTGGCATTCAGTGACAATATTTCTCTTCCTTCTTCCACTAATTTATCCAGTGAGGTAACTAATTTAAAAAAAACGTCCATTTATTTATAAGTGGAATAACAGTTATTAAAAGGCGGTAAAGTTAATATATATGGAAGTTTATTTTAATTACTTTTCTCCGTCTCATACTTGAGTTAATATACTTACCCAGTGTAAACTAATCATTGTTGGAACACCTGAGTCTTTCAGTATAAATGGTCAACATTAAATGAGCGCTAGACCTTCAGTATTAAGTTAACTTCACCGTTATCTGACATGGAGGATTTGTCGTTGGTAGATCGGCCGGGTGCTTACCAGCAAGCCTTTGGGTGTGTTTTTTTCCGCAACACAGATATTTACCTAACTCAAGTTAGGTTAACTATATTTTTTACAAAGATCTGATTGCTCGCTAATATTAAATAAGCTGACAGAAGAGGTAGCTTCATCTATTGAAAAAAGTATGGAGCGAACTTGAAGCTATTATCGTATTCAGTAATTATGTTCAGAGTAAACTCTGCTTTTAATTAGCGCATGAAACTTTGGACATATAACCAGGAAAAAGCGAACCCGTGTAGTTTAATCTAAGCATAGGATAAACTTGTCGCATAGATTTTGTTTTCTCCAACCTTTTAAGAATTAAAAACAGTTTAGCATAACGAAGCTTTGAGTCTGAGAGAGCATAATCAGAAATATTTTAAAGGCTGATCGTAAAATCGAACAAACTGTCCAGATGACCATATTTATCCCGAGATGAATGGAAATTAACAGTTAAATTATGTCCATTATGACCTACCAACTTTAACTCTGTACATTACTCTTTTTATCTTAGTCATCACCATCTCATACGTTATCTGTAGAATAATATAACATAATGCTTATAATTAGACATGATGACACTAAACAAATAGCGTTTTACAAACCACAAAAATATTTTAATTGGATACCAAATTTGATATACTAGCCGTGCACGCCAGGCACATCTATGGTTTTTGGGGGAAAACTTTTTCTGTAAAAACCGTGACTTGATGTATTTTTTTGGGTATTTATTAAATTTCAAACATTAAAACTAACCCTAAACCTAACTCAAATAACAATCAACCAAACCACAAACATGAACACAACATGAAAGTAAATATTAACATAAAAAACACAAAATAAGAAATAAGAAATACAAAATATAATAAACCGGGAGCGATCTCCCCTAAACTTTCTCGCATATTCTTATATAAAAAACAGGGGATGGGAACTCGGGATATACACATGAATTTTAATCCATTTTAAATGCTTAAACTTTTAAAAATAGAATAAAATCTCGTAGAAAAAAGAATTGCACACCAGTGAACGCAAAATAAAATGTGCATAATAGTGCGCAATATTATTAGTACTTTATAAATTTACATTCGTTTTTTTTTAGAAATTTAAAATAGCGTAAATTAGTACTTCTGGTGAACGGAACTTTCTCAAAATCTGACAGAAGGTAGAGAATTAGATCCCTTAATTACATGTGAAATTTCATTTATCTATCTGAAATAGTACTCAAGTTATTGGCTTTTCAAAAAATTCAAATTAAAAAAATACCACTTCCGGTTATCGGAAATCGCTATAATGCTGATACGGATCTACGATTTTGATAAAACACTTATTTATGAAACCTAGCTGTAACGGTACTCAAGTTATCGTGTTTACAGACACACACACACACATACACACAGAAATACGGACAAGATTGCAAACTTATGTTTTTCCATATCTGTGAGGTGTAAAACGTCGAGATTTGCAAAAATCTCGATTTTTTTTTTTTGCACGATTACAAGACTTTCTCTATACTTCGTATATACGAGAAAGTAAAAAGGAAATAGGAATGCAAAGAAAAATTCAAATGCACATTTAAATGCACATACGCATACAAATGCACATGTAGATGCATATACAGCTACATATGCACATATGCATGCACCTGCATATGCGCCTGCATATGCAAATACCCATATGATATATACATATACATATACATATACATATACATATACATATACGTATACGTATACGTATACGTATACGTATACGTATACGTATACGTACACGTACACGTACACGTACACGTACACGTACACGTATACGTACACGTACACGTACACGTACACGTACACGTACACGTACACGTACACGTACACGTACACGTACACGTACACGTACACGTACACGTACACGTACACGTACACGTACACGTACACGTACACGTACACGTACACGTACACGTACACGTACACGTACACGTACACGTACACGTACACGTACACGTACACGTACACGTACACGTACACGTACACGTACACGTACACGTACACGTACACGTACACGTACACGTACACGTACACGTACACGTACACGTACACGTACACGTACACGTACACGTACACGTACACGTACACGTACACGTACACGTACACGTACACGTACACGTACACGTACACGTACACGTACACGTACACGTACACGTACACGTACACGTACACGTACACGTACACGTACACGTACACGTACACGTACACGTACACGTACACGTACACGTACACGTACACGTCGACGTCGACGTCGACGTCGACATTGTCATTGACATTGACATTATTATCATTATTAACATTATTGTCATTGTTAACATTGTTAACATTATTAACATTGTTATTAACATTGTTATTAACATTGTTATTAACATTGTTATTAACATTGTTATTAACATTGTTATTAACATTATTATTAACATTGTTATTAACATTATTATTAACATTATTGTTACCATTATTGTTAACATTATTATTAACATTATTATTAACATTATTATTCACATTATTATTAACATTATTATTAACATTGTTATTAACATTATTATTAACATTATTATTAACATTATCATTAACATTATTATTAACATTATTATTAACATTATAATTAACATTATTAACATTAACATTAAATTTAATCGCTTCAGATTTATTAACAACTAGCCCCGTTTCATTCTTATTATCTAGTTTACCTTAACATAGAAGTGTACTATTATAATATCAAACCCTAAATCCAACACAAACACACTATCTTTTTTAAATTTATATTCAAAGAACTTAAAATACATAAGCTAACTTTGACACCGCAAACAGTAACTTCTTAAGGTTTATCTAATACAGTGGTTCCCAAACTTTTTCTAGTGGCGACCCCCTTTTATAAAAAGTAAGTGACCCGCAACCCCGTAGAATTAAAAAGACGAAATTAGTAAGGAAAATAAACACTAACATACGATTTTCTAGTAGACTTTTTATATGAATTATTCTTGAAATAATGGATGAAATTGCATGTTAATCACTAGCCTCAAAATTCGCCGTTGAGTTTTTGTTAACGCCAACCTCATTTCATTCTCAGCATTTAATTTATTTCTGTTTTGCTTTTAATCGGAGAAGTGTTGAAAATCTATTCTCGCAAAGATATGTAGACACAAAAGGAACTAAAACTCGAAAGGCCATTGATTTCACGATCGCGTATGAACGGTGCATACTACACCAAAATTGTGTGAGCAGTTTTTCATTTAACACGATACGTGACGGGGAATCATACCGCAAATTTTAGAACTGATCTTGTAACTCCTCGGGAATGCTGGCATCATCAACGAAAGCAGAGAATGGTTTACGTGTCAATGCTGATTCTTCTTCTTTGAGCTCAGGAAAAATAACGCCGAAATTCGTTTTTAAGTGATTCAAGATGCCCAGAATTCTCTTTCAGATTTTTATTTATCTGAATATCAGTTTCTCAAACATGGCGATATTTTCACTATTTTTCTTTCTTTGCCAAATTTGCAGATTTGATAAAATTGCCAAGAGAGTATCATGAAAAGAGATAATATTCGTTCATTTTCAGGTTAAGCTTATGCTGATGTTCGAATAATTCTCCATCCACTCTTTGTCGTTAAAATGTATCAACAAATCGTATTTCCCTTGCACTTCCAAGAACAACTTGATTTCATCTTTCAATTCGAAAACACTGTAGTGTAGAACCTCGTGATCTTTTTTCATGTCTTTCCACAGTTCTTAAAACAGACGGTGTTTAGGGCTCCAGATTTAATATAATTTACAACTTTTATAAGTAATGCAGTAGGAAGAATCTTGCTGGCGAGGGCAGCAGTAGATTCCCCTTCATTAGGGAGCTAAATCTTTTACTTTTTTCTGAAAACCCGATTTTGAACCAAACATGACGCATCGTCCGTACAAACCCCACTGCCGTTTTAATCATCCAGTTTCAAAAAACTTATTTATTTTCTTCATGATAACTTCACAAAATATAAACTCTTCTTTCCTATCATCTGAATGAATATATTTCACTAAGACATGCAACTGCTAACACGATCTCACGTCTGTTGATTTTAATTGAACTTGAATATCTAACATTGTTGAAAGTTTTATTTCGTTCAAAATTTGTTTTTAGCATCGTCTCATGATTAAGGTTTCATGATTAAGAACAACTTTGAAAAATACAAGTTGTTTATTATCAATTCCATTTCCAGTGATGTTAGCAAAGACGAATGTAAGATATTTTTCTAAATATTTATGTTTTTTCTTTCATTGTTCGGGTTTAGTCAACCAGTTGGCGACCGCCCTAGAAAGCCCTTTGCGACCCCCCCCCCCCCCCCCCTGGGGGATTCAAGTGTTAGATTATTAAAGTGCTCATGGTCTAAATTTATGAGTTAAAAAATTAATATTGAAAGTCTTTAAAAACAATTTTCATGTAACATACTTAAAATAATAACTTTCAATTATGAACATTACATAAAAAATTTTAAAAAGTGTATCAACGTTTATAACATTTCTAATTGTGTCTGAAATGTATTGGCATTTAGTCCTTTAGCGCACACCACGTCTCTTGATTTGGAAAACACAGTTACTTCCCTTTTTATTACTTTGTTTTGGGGATTGATTAAGTGCAATGTCGTTGGTAGTTTTAATAATGCCTTTTATTTATTCCATACACTGAACGTGCTGTTTTCTTATTAATATTTTTAATCAAAGAGAGGTGAAGTAACAAAAGACATCTTTTTTTCGGGAACGGGAATTCCCGCAGGTTATTATTTGTCTTTTTCTTTGCGCATTCGTTTTGTCTGTCTTTTTTGCGCACGAAGGGGAATTCATTTTTGTCGGTCGCACTAGAGAGCTCTTTTATACACACCTGCACCAAACTACAAAAAGATATATATAGTGTTGGGAAAAAATAATTACATAATTAGCGGGGATTGATCAAGTGCAAGGTTGTGGGTATTTTTAATACTGCCTTTTATTTATTCCATGCACTGAACGTACTATTTTCTTATTATTATTTTTAATCAAAGACAGATGAAGTAACAAAAGACATATTTATTCGAGACCGGGAATTCCCAAATGTTATTTTTGTGTCTTTTTCTGGAGGGAATTTGTTTTTGTCACTCTTTTTTTTGCGCGGGAAGGTGAATTTTTACCTCACCTTTTTAAAGAAGACGTTTTAACAGCACATTTAGCAGTGTAAAATTTTACTACCTTCTCGATTGTAAAGGCAAGATCGAAGAAAAAAATTCTTTTAAGAGCTGTGTTTATGTTTTAAAGCTTCAAAGTTTCAGTCAGATGAACACAAATATTTGTTTAAAAGCTCCTAAATGTCCTCTATGTTTACCTTTATCTATAGTCTTTAACTGAGCCGACTCCGGACGTCCTTCGATGCTCAGACAGAGTGGGGTTTTTTTGCGTCCCGAGCCTTCCCGTGTTCACAATGGCGCCTACGTTCGTTTAAGTTAACGCGTAAGACTAATAATAAGTTGGGGTACTATAGTTGTTTACTA